CTTTTTCATGGGATCTTTCCTTAATAACTTTATTTCTAGTATAGAAATTGATTTCTTTAAGCTTTTTAAGTCTAGTGGGAAAAATGTTGGTGATCTACATTGTTCTAGAAAGTTATCCCTTTCATCTGCATTTTAAAATTTATTTGGTAGAGGTCTACAACATAATCTCATGATTTAAGAAATGTTCTTCTATTTCAATGGTTATCTCTCCCATGCCATTTAACTCAGGTCATACATTTAAATTAATTCTCCTCTTTTGTCCATTAAGCTTCTGAACCAATACTTTTCATTACCAGCTGATGGATACTAAGCAACTAAGCAAAGTTAATTTTTTTTTTTTTTTAGGTTTTTGCCATGGGGTGTGTGTACTTGCTGGAGAGAGACAGAGGGAGACAGAGAGAGAGAAAGTAAGAAATTACCCCCACAGGGGGATGGTCACACTACAATCTCTTTTCATCTATTTTCCTCCTGGGATTTTGGGCACTCATGCATACGTGCTGGGTGCATGAGTGCCATCAGGTCCAGGACTCGAACCATGGTCCACCATGTGGGAATCCAGTGCTTTAACCACCATGCTACCTGCTTGCCCCACCAAGTTTTTTTTTTTTAAACTTTATTGAGATATGATTTACTGGTTTATAGTGTGTGATACTCCAGAGGCTGAGGCAAGAGGATTGTAAACTCACAATTAACATAAGTAACATAGCAAGACCTTGTATGAAAGAGTTGAATGCAGTGGTGTGCACCTGTAGTACCAGCTACTCAGGAAACTGTGACACAGTAAGACCCTGTCCCCCCCCCAAAAAAAAAAGTGAAAGAAAGAAAGAAAACAGAGATGGAATTCAGTAGTTTTCGAGCATTTTCAGAGTTGTGAAACCAGCAACCATCTCCAATTTTCATCACTCAAAGCGAATTATTTTACATCTTTGAGGTATAATTTATATACAATAAAATTGATCAACATTTAGTTTGAATTTTAATAAAGCTATGTTTAATATTAGCCTAAGGAAAATATTCTTAGTCTTTTTTAAAAATCTTTTTATATACATGCAGTCACATTATTTAGCTTACAAAATGAACATTTCAATATGTGAACATTTCTCCCCAGTCCAGTTGATCAAAGTATCTTCAATGGATAACACCAGAGATGGGGGTTAATGCCACATTTGTTTAGTCTTTTACTGATTGTCGGGCATTTGGGTTTAACTAGTTTTTTTTTTTTCCTTCACTGTTGTAAATAAAATTGATATTAATTAGTTATTATATATTATTATATACAGCTGCCTTTTTTCTTGTAAATTATCATTTTTTTAAACAGGGACCAGACAGTTGAACAGCAGTAAATCACAATGCCCTGTGAGGCTGACCCACATGGGAAGGTTCCAGGTTCATTTTTGGTAGCATCCTTGAGCATGCTGGGTATGATATACCCACAATCTGGGGCTTGCTGAGCCTGGGGTGGATCTCCACATCAGGACTCTATTGGGCTATTGTCTCTCTATCTCTGTGTTGCTTTCTCTTTCTCACTTATGGAAGAAATAAATAAACTTTAAAAATATTTTCATAAAAGAATAAATTTAAACTGAAATTACTCGATTAAAGGAAAGGAGACATCATGACTATCATAGTTTCTTATATGTTTCAGGAGAAGCTTACATTAAGTCATTAGGGAAATGCAAATCAAAACCACAATGAAATACTACTTCATGTCCATTAGGGTGACTATAATAAAAAAGGTAGAAGATGTTGGTGAGGACGTAGGAAAATTGGACTGCTCAAACACGGCTGGTGGGAATGCAAAATAGTACAGTTCCTTTGGAAAAGTTAGGCAGATCCTCAAAAAGTTAAATTTACCATGTGACCTAGTAATTTCACTTCTACATATATACCAAAAAATAATGAAAACATGTCCACACAAAAACTTGTACATGAGGGACCAGCAATATTTTCTGTTTACCAATCTTCCACTCCCCCCCACCCCCACAATCTTCGGGTTTATTATTTTTGTTAAATTGTATAGATATGAACTAATTCTCAAAGTTTCCTTAAATTATAATCTCCTTAGTAGAATGTCATCTATATGAGGGCAGGAAATTTTGCCTGCTTTTCTTCACTGCTGTGTCCATAGAACAGTGCCTGGCAAATAATAGATACTCAGTAAAATTTGTTTAATGAATACATTTTTATATTTTCAGTTACTAAGTAAATATTTTCTCCTTTACTATTTTAATTTCATAATACATCTGAACTAATTGTTCTCCCTAGTCTCAATATCTTTTTGGAATGAGGCAGTATATAACTAAATGAATTGAACTGATTGTACATCCCCAGGTGAGTGATCTTGTTGGACCTTACATGTTTTTATTTTCTTCTGAAATTCATGATAACAGTAGCAAATATTTGAATACGATGTCTCCATAATAATTTGTGCTTTTTGTGTCAGTTGGTGGAAAAACTACCTAGTGACAAGAAACCATTTATATTTTATAATCACATATTTTCAGAAATTTGCAATATGGAGGTACATAATGTATGAGGCACATACTTACTGGGTCAGCTCCATGGCCTGGTGGTTCAGGCAGCTGAATCCCAAATGGCTGACCATACAATTTCAGTTCTGCACCTGGCAGCTTGAGAAATGTGCCAGGTACATGTGTATGTGTGACCAAAATCCAAAATGAGAGAGAAACAGAGAAGGGATTGTGGTGTGACTATGTCCAATGGGGGGTGCTTTCTCCTCTCCTTTCCTCTCTGTCTCTGTCTCTTTGTGGTGAAAGCACATGTTCAGTAGGAAAAAATAAGACACATACTTGTTCATTTTGTAGTCTGTTCATAGTGACTGTATGATTATTCATGGGCCCATGGTAGTAATTTTGAATGCCACCATGGGTTTGGGACCAGTAAGTTGGGAACTTGGTTACAGTATCAGAACTGAGGAGATGACTGAAATATAAAAATAGCTAGTGTAGAAGATAATGCCCCAATTACATATTTAAAAAATCCAGTTGGCTCTGGTCACAGAGCCGGCCCTGTGACCTGGTGGTTAGGGGAGCCAAATACTGCAAGGCTTATGGTTTTAATCCCGGCCTCAGTGGTTTGAAGAACATACCAGTGTTTGCATGCATGTCAGAATCCCAACAGGATGGAGAAATGGAGAAAGGATTGTGGTGTGAACTCTCCCTCTCTGTCTCTGTCTCTCTCTCTCTCTGGTGAGCACATGTGCCCTCTGGCAAGTAAAACAATCCAATTTTAAAGGTATTAGTTTATTTTCAAAACTAAAGAATATTTGAAAAATTAAGTTTAAAAATGCCTTTTTTTGGTGAGAGGGAGAGTTTTTCTAAAGGGTGCATGCATTCTCTGGAGAGACAGAGAGAAAGCAAGAAATACCGCCCCCCCCCCCCGGGAAGGATGGCCATACCACATTCCCTTCCCCTCCAGTCTCCTCTCAGGATTTTGGGCATGCATGCACATGCCCCTGGCGTGAATTTGAAGCCACTGGGTCCAGGACTTGAAACGTGGTCTACCACTTGGAAGTCCAGCAACAAAATCATTATGCTATCTACTAGTCCCTGTAAATGCCTTATAAAGTGTATTCATTTGAGGACCAATCCCATAGCCTATTGGCTAAGGGAGCCAGATCCCACACGACATGACTGAAAGCAGTTAGAAAACTGGCCCTGGTGTCTTGAAAAGCATGCTGGGCACATGTGTATGTGTGCCTCAAAATCCAGACATGATGGAGAAATGAAGGGATTGAAGCATGACTGTGCCCCATTGGGGGGGTACTTTTTCCCACTATCCCCTTCTCTCTGTCTCTCTCTGCTAAGTGCATACACCCACGGACAATAAAAAAAAAAGGTACTCATTTAAAATTTGTTTTAACAAAAAATCAGAAGCAATCTAAATGTCTAATAATGCTTAATTAGGTTTTAGATATATTTATCTGGTAGAAAGTTAGGCAGCAATTGAATATTATGAATTGTAATTCTTATAATTTGACAATTTAACAAGCAGAATATGTTATCATGTATTTCTGAACAGTTTTACTGTGATTATATGAAGTGCTTATACACATGGCAAAAATATGGGAAGGTCATAGTAGCTATGTTCAGATAGAGAAATTCTGGGTCATTTTTTTCCTTTTTGAATACTTGTTTAGTAGTTTCTGTGTGCCAGACACTATTAAGCTTTTTTCACAATTTAACTCAGGGGTCATTAAACTCTAATAGATTTTGCCTCCCAGGCCTATTTTTGTATGGCCCTTTAGCTAAACATGGTTTTACATTTTATTTTAGTTTAGTGTTTTTTTGTTTGTTTGTTTGTTTTCGTTTGTTTGGTTTTTGCCATAGGGCATGTGCACTCTCCAGAGAGAGGGGGGGGGAGTGAGAAATTACCCACCTCAGTGGGGATGACCATGCAACAGTCTTCCCCAGTCTCCTTTTGTGGTTTTAGGCATGCACATACATGCATCTGGCCCAGCATGATTTTCAAGCTACTGGGTCCAGGACTTGAATCACAGTCAACCATGTGGTAATCCAGCACCTTAAACACTATGCCACCTGCTGGCTTCACATTTTTATTTTTTCAAAATTGATTTTGACAAGATAGTGTATTTAACCCAACATGTCATTTTAACATGTAATCAACATTTCAAAATGTGCTACTAAAATATTTTATATTCTTTTTTCCTTTGTACCACATCTTTGAAGTTTGGTATACATTTTATACTTACAGTATCTCAGTGTGGTCTGGCCACATTTTTAAAAAAGAAAACAAAGAAGAAACAGCTGTTACAGAGATCTTATATGGCCTGCAAAGTCTAAAATTGTTGCAATTTGGGTGTCTGTAGAAAACATTTGCTGATTTCTGATTTAATTCATTTTATCTTGTTAGCAACATTCCAGTAAGGTAAGTGCTATTATTATCATCCCTATTTTACAGATGAGGAAACTAAGCCACAGAGGGTTAAGTAGCTTTTTCTTGGTGGCATTCACTATATTTTAGGACACATTGCAGACTCTTTCTACAAACTTGCTAATTATGTGTTTCTTTGCAGTGTAAAAAGTGAATGTGCCCACATCTCAAAGGATGGCACAGTCAAGATCAAGATCACCCAGGTGGAAATACAGGTGAGCAGTTATTAGTAGAGCAGAATAAGCATGGATTTGGGATATGCCGTGACTTTCAAATTCACTAGCACTGATAAAACCTATTTTAATAATATCCTGCTTCCTGGTTATTCACATGAGGTGCTTTATCATGGTAAAGGTTGCACTTCTAAACATTGGAGCTCACAGCTCTATTTAATTATGACTGGCAGCTAAATTAATCCATAATAAAAAGAACTGCAGAGGTCACAGCCAGAGAGAGAAATATTTTTGAGAATGTCACATTTTTAAATTAATGAGTGGCTTAAAACTCTTTAATGTGTATTTAATTTTTTTCATAATCAACACAGTTTGAAGAAATTTGGAGTTAGAAAGTAGGGTATTTCCTATTTTTCTTCTTCATGGCAGAATAATAGTCTCAAACAGCTCTCTCTTTCTTGGTTGATAGTATTAGTAGTATATATAATTAATTTGAAACAATTCAACTGACCTACCTTCTGTCCTTCCACCTTTCCCACCTTTCTCCCTCTCTCCTCTTTTCTCTCTCTTTCTTTCTTCCCTTTATCCCTCCCTCCTTTTCTCTCCCCACCCCTTTTTTCTTTTCTTTTTTTTTTGCCAGAGACAGGAAGAAAGTACCTCCCAACGGGGTCATGGTCATACCACAATCCTTTTTCTCTATTCCTTCTTTCCATGAGGATTTTGAGCACTCATATACATGTTCCCAGTGTGTTTTCCAAGCTGTTGGGCTGAGATTCAAACCGTGGTCAGCCATGTGGGTCCAGTTTCCTTAAGCACTTGTGGTATGGTGCCAGCCCTGTCCATCTGTTCCATCATTCCTTAATGATAGAGCGCATGTGCATGCACATACAAGGATAGACATATACTCTTGACAGAATCTTGTCATGC